CCTGAGAATTTCACTTCAGCACTGCGCCTCCTCTGAGTCTGGGTATGATATTCTCTTTACTCCTAGTTGTAGAATTTCCACTCAGCCAGCCCTCCTGTGGTTCTGGATGGTGTCCGTTCCGTGTTTCAGGCGTAATTTGAATTGGTTGTTCGAAGCAGCAATCTCTGGCGTTAACCTATGCCGCCATCTTGGTTCTCTTCCTGTTCTTTTCTCTTACAAAGTCCTCGTCTCTCTGCAATCTTCTGATTTCCCTTAGATTTCCTTTTCTCAGCTTCCTTGTTCTGGGATTCATATCATCCAGCACTAACATGTATTTAACACTTTCATTCATTTTATACATCATCTCATGGAATATTTCAGATTTCATTTACTCATTTGCTATTACTGAAAACCCTATATTTTATTATTATCTTTATGCCTGTCCCCATGTGTGTCCCTTATTCTATTCTAGTTTATGATTTTATGCCACATGGCATAAGGTTTGGTCCACTAAATTTGGCATGGTAGGACCTGAAACATTTTTATTTTGGAAAATCTGAGCTACAAAATGTGTCACTAATTACTATATCCTTGAAGTCGCCACAAGAATTCCTCCCATGAAGTGTTGCAATCAGCCTCAGTCCTCAGGATAAAAAATGTTAGAAAAACCTCATATAATATTAATAGGCTATCTGTACAATAAAAAACCAGTCAATATTACAGTTTCCTTTCTAATTTCTTTATTAACTTTTAATATTCTAAATTGCCTTCCAGCTATAAGACTCATTCATTAGTTTAATTTGTTTCTGGTTACAGGTTTCATTTAAATTCAGTGAACAGTTAGGGAACCATCTAACATGTGGCAGTTAAGTCTTTCTTCTGGAAATGTGGTCAAAAATGACAGCTTGTATGTAGAGCTCTGTCGGGATAGGGATTCTAGTAGAGTTGTCACCTGGTGAAGCCTAAAATACAGAAATCATATTTTTAATCAGTCCAATCCGCGCAAAAATTGGTATTAAAGACATTTTCTTCTGGTTTCAATGTTGTATCAAGCAGACCTACAAAGGTTGTGGCAATGGAGACCTTTCCATGTTTTCCCCCAGATTCATTTTCCGAGGAGCAGTGATAATTCCACTCCAGAGCTTTGAGGCCCTGGGTTGTGACATTACTGAAACTATCTAGGATCAAAGCAGGGTCTGAGGCTCATACTTGTCCAGACTCTGCTGAACAACATGGGTCACTAACTCTGCAAAATTCTCAGGGAAGGGCTTTGCAAACACATGTGATCACAAGTTAATAAGTAAAAAATAATCCTATTTTGATTTCAAGTAATACAAATGTCTCAAGTTTGGAATTGATTCAGACTCGCGAAAGTAACCTGTCCAGGTGGGTTTCATAAAAAGGGTCTGATCACTTTAAAAACAATTGTTATGCTTTCCCCCCTTCAAATTATAATCTTTGAAAAAAGATTTGTTCCTTCTATGTTTATTCAGGATTGTCTATCATACTTAAAGCCTCCTAAGGAGCTCCTGTGGGAACAAATATTCACTGATGTGGTATTGATAAGACAGAAGAGAGAGGTACTAAAAGGGGTAGACAACATCTACAATTGGGAAATTATTAGTCATTGGGCCTTTGCTATATTGGAGGTACAAAAGAATAATCGTACTTGCTCTCTCTTCTCTGTAGGAAGAGATGATAAGATGATCTGGGACTAGAGAGGAGCTTTCGTATTGCCTTTTCCCAATAGTACCGAATTTTTTTTTTGTGCTAGCTGAGAAAGAATATATTAGATCCATCTTTTATTAAATAAGTCAGTAAAATTGCAAAGACTTTGAAATAGGTTAAAAGAATGGGTGTCCTGAGTGGCTCATCCATCCAAGTCTTTTCTGCCTTTGATCATTTTTGTACTATTTTACACCTCTTTAAGTTGTAAAAAACTGATGATAAGGGCAGATATTCTTGTCTACAAATATGTAAATGAATTGTGCCTACTGGAAGGTAATTAATTATTGCTCCGTATTGGGGCCTGCTTTGCATCTATTTGTAGGTCAATTTCATTTTTTTATTTCTCATATATGTTATGCTCTTTGAATCCTCCTTTGAAATATTTTTAATATCTTACTGGTTCCCTCCATAATTAATGACTTAAATACAATCTTTGGCATATTCATTTTATATCTGTATGAGAGTCACAATTATATCCTTTTAGGAAAAATAATCTTGCAAACATTTTGGGAGTTCCATGAGGTGTCCAGTGGCTTCCCTGACAGCAGGGAGTCTGTGTTGCTGGGGAGTTATTGCATTTCCTGGAACACTTCAAGCCAAACATTTCTTTCCTTGGCTCCAAGAGGTAAATCCCCAGGAGCAACAGAACTTTCGCTTTATTGTTCTTCTGTTTCTTTACATATTTTCCTTTTTACTATTTTTGTGTTTTGTTTTGGAACTTTTACAATCAATAAATTATTCCCTATTGGTGACAGCAAGGATTTGGAATTTGGTTTTATGGTCTAACCTTTGTGATCTCTGTAAATGAATGAATAGATTATAGAGATTTATTCTTTCTTGGGTGAGAGACAACGGAGAATATGATGTATTAGTATTTTCTTTTCTTTGTTTATTTGTCTACTTGTCTATATGAGCTCTTGTGCCCACTAGCAAAGAGAAAAACTTTTTGCTATATGGAGTATTAATTTTTGTGTGTTTACTTTTGACCAGTGGCTAATGTTTAGATCTGAAGCTATAAGCTCTCTGGGTGACTATGTGTGTGGACGTTTTTCAGGCCTTTTTTTGTTTGTTTGTTTGTTTGTTTTATTGTTTCTCAGAATCCTTGTACAATCTTGGTACTTACCAAGACCCCATATAATGTTTACATGCAGTACAACAACTAGTATGATAGCCAAAGATTTTCTAACTTTTATATATAGAATACTTCAAATGTAATGGGAAACAAACACATACCAAAACTCTATAGAAAAGTGTGTAGATGGCAATAATTACAGAAGAAGAAACAGAATATACTAACATGCATATGAAAGAAATGTTCATTCCTAACAAAATTAAAAATGTAAATTGAAATGACCCCAAATAAATTTGTATATAAAATGAACAACATTAAAAAATATGCAAAATAAATAGGGCATGGGGATTGAGCAGTCTTATTTCAGGTATTTGTAATTGCAAATTGATACGGTGTAACTGCAAAATAATTTGACAATATATTTCTAAAGCTTCACAAAGTTTATACTTTTTAACTGAGCAAGTTACACTTTAGGAATTCACCTTAAAGAAAAAAAAGACACTGAAACTTGGTTATAGAGAAGTATTATTTAAATTTGGGGAGAAAAACAGAAACCAATATAAATGTCCATCTATTAGAAATTCTTATATAAACTATGATTACTCCAGGATTGAATGTTATTTACATTGTTATACAGCTAGGTTTTTTGCTTGAAAATGTAGCCTAAACAGCTATTCATACCAGCATATCAACTTTAGTAATTATAGTTTGAAGTCATTTTTAAAACCGCTGCATAGTATTTAACTGTGTCAATGTGTCATAATTTATTTTATCATTGCCCACTCATGGTCATACACATAATTTCCAGTTTTCAACTATTGCAGTGAAAAATGATATCCTTTCAGAACTTTCATTGTTTCTGAGTTGATAGACTGCCAACAACCAATATTCAGTCATTGAACACCTACTCAATGGCACATTAAACAAATTCTCTCATTTAATCTTCACAACAACTTTTTGTAAAATGGTTGTTTTTACAGAGTTTACAGATGAGATAACAAAGGTGAAGAAGTGTTCAAAGAGGTTTAGGAATTTCCTTAAGATCTATTTAACTCCAGTACATCACACCTATTGCCCCTCTTCAGCAGCTTTTCCCTGCCTGAGTCCTGCTGGCTATTTCCACCCTTTGTGCTTCTCCTGTTGCTCTTCTAGCCTCTGTCAGCTACTTCCATGTATTTTGGGGAGTCCCTAGGTCTTCATTTCTCCAGTGGAATTCATTAAGAGACTTAAGCAAGTCTTTAAATATCCTAAAACATTATTATACTATTTTGTGTGTATGGCTATGTATGCATTTCCTTTTCTGAGCAAATCCATAAAACATCAGATTTTTTAAGTGAGCTGCATTCCCCAAAAGGTTAAGATCCTACCTTCTGGAGCAGCTGCATGTGTCTGTGAGGTAGTTTTCTGGACTCCCCAGTTGGGGCTGCAATCTGTTTGTTTTATTGTGTGTTTTTTTTTTATTTTTTTATTCTTGCGGAAGCTCTTTGAGGCAATATGCATTGCTGAGGCCACCGATTATTTGTGTTTTTTTAATCTTTAATTTTTTATTTCAATTACATTTATTGGGGTAACAATGTTAATAACGTTATACAAGCTTCAGGTGTACAGCTTTATAATATATCATCTGTATACACTATTGTTCTTAGTCAATCATTTCATCCACTAGGAAACTAACCTTCCCTTGTCTCTCACACTGCTTGTCCTTATTTGTGAGGAAAAATTGCATGAAAAGTGAGCTTGAATTTGGGCTACTCTCTATTCCTCAAATTCTTTTATTATCATTTCCTTAGTCTATATTGGTCTCTTTTACCTTTGGCATGATGTTTGATTAGGTTGCCCTTCTAACTAGAAGTGTAAAGCAGTAAGTTTTCTTTGTCATGAATATGTTATTGAGATATGTACTATTCTTTTTACTGCAGATATTTGATTTGGATGGTGAAGAGTTATTAATAATCTTAATTACTGAACATTGACATACATCTAATAATTCAAACATATATATTTAATCTTTTTCTTTCCTCCAGCTCACCTTTCCTGCGCTGCACTTCATATACAAATTCATACATTGAACACTTAACAACAATGTGCTTATCTCTAGGGATTGTTCCATACTATTGCATATAAAATAAAAATCAGTTTTCCAGGTCAAGAGGAGGGCATAGCATTTAAGTGTTAGGAGTTTTAATTCATAAAAGCCATGCTCTGCTAATATAATTTTTGATGGATTCCTCAAGGCCATTGATTTTAGCAGAAGTTAGTTGAGTTAATACTTAATTTATATGTGGTGGACTTTTAGTTCAGGTGTCCCAGGTGATCGCCCAGGGGAGAAAATGTGTAAAGGCTTCTTAGTATGTGGGTGTTTTAGGGCTGTAATCAACCAAACATTCAGTAATTTGGGCAGCAAAACCAGAAATTTGGCAAGGCCTCAGCTTTCTTAATAACTGTGACTATGCCACAGTTAAAAAGCACCGTTTACAAGGGCCTCCGAGGAAAATCCAGGAACCAAAAAAGTGGTGTTGGTGATTCAGTAAGTGTCCCCTGCCCCTTGCATGGCATTTGAGGGGATGCTGTTGGATACTTTGAAGAAACCATAGCCTTGCTTAAACTTACTCTATTCAGTGGGAGTTTTTATTTTTTATTTTTTAATGTCCAATGACATTATACCTGGGCCCTGTATAAAGACAGATTGTAAAACCGAGGACCTTCACGGGGAGGGTGGGGCTTTCAGAGATTAAATTCGAACCATCTGCGGAAAGGATGGAGGAATGTTATGGGCCTCCATTTTGAGACAGCAATTTCAAGGCCGTGACAGGCTCCATCTGATTTTAATGTCCACATGGCAAGGGAAATTAAGACCAGTCAATGAACTGTGAGGTAGCATTAAGGAGGCAATTAACACCTTCCCTACTAATGGTCACAAGTGCTCTGGTGAGGGTCGCTTGGGAAAAACAGAACACAGGAAAGAGGAGCCGAGAGAAGATACTGCTGGAATCTTCCTCTAAATTAACCCCCACCCCAAATAAAAACGTATGTTGTTTGGGTAAAATTTATTTTTAATTTTTAAATCTTGTTCACCTAGATATTCTTTCGTTTATAGAAAAAACAAAGTAGAATTGGGCAGGCCTTTTCTTTTTGGCATCTGTATAATATGTACTAATGGCT